CATCCGGGCGCCGATGCAGCGGCTCTAACTCACTTATCACTGTACTCGAGCCATGCAGCGCGTTACTTACGGGCAACGACCTAGCATTAACATTATAACGTCTATTGTCCATGTTCATGATAGATTCAACAAATTTTTATATTGGCTGTTGATGGCCTAACACAACCCTCCTCCTTTACCCGAGCTTAGGACCGGCTATAAATATAGGCGGAGTTATAGAACTCTACTTGACACAAAATCATTGAAATCCATTAACAAATCACATCATTGAACTTCAAAGAAAACATATCATTGAACTTTACAAGATTATTATAGTGGATTTTCAAGTAAGTCATGTCACACTTGCATTTCATTCAATTTTACACATTTCAATTGTCAAATATAACTCAATAAACCAATTAACACACAAAAGCATAAGAAATAATTTTCCAATTATCTAAAACCTTTGAGAGGTCAAAAGTTTTACTCCTCAAATTCACACTTTCAAAGCTTTACAAAACTTGAATGGTGCCCAAAGTATATTTACTCTACACAAATTTACAACAACAATCATTAATAACTTCCTTAGGACAAGTTGCCATACCTAAGTCACACTTTAACTCTCTCTCAAAATTTAATTCCTTCAAATACAAGGGTACCCATACGGTTTCTTAACTTCCTCTAACTACCATTAATTTCATTGAACTCCTAGATAACTATTAATGGAGCCACATTGCTTCAACCACCTCATTAATGATGGATTTTTGGTTATTTATGGCTCCTAACAACCAAAAAAATAGAGTCATAAATGCTATGTTTAAATAGCTCAATTAACTTTCATTAATTCTATTTAAGTTAATAGATTCGAATCTATAATCTCTATGGATAGAAAATCATCTTCCTCAACCATACCCTAACTCTTAACATTAAGAAAATGAAAGAGAAAGAAAGATTTAAGCTTATGAAACTTACCTCTAGTGTTTAGAAATTTCAAAATACTTCCAATGCTTCCAAACCCTAAGCCCTAACAGAGTTCCTTGTATTCCCTTCATTCACTCTTTTGTTTCTCTCTTTTTCTACATCAGTCTCGCATTCTTATTTCTATGGATTTTGTACCGTGTGCTGCAGCACATGTCCCCACATGCTGCAACATATGGTACAAAGAAGGATATTCTTCTTCAGATGACACCGTGTGCCTTGCCATATAGTACAAAGTTATTTCTCTTTATTTTTCTCACCTTTTCATGCCCAGGTGACCCGACCTCACTCTGTACTCAATCCTAGAGCTGAAACCACAACTCAAAACACCCATTAGCTCTCTATAATCACACACCACATTAATTTACATCATTAATCTCATTTAACTAGCTAATTAAGGGTAAGATTTCCTAGATGTTACATCAAACACATCTGTAGATGTCAAAATCAATTCTATGAAGCAAAAAACAAGATTTGTAAAATAGTTCATATGATTTTTAGATAAATTGTTAAAAAAATATAATTAAAAAGTTGGTAATAATAGCTTATGAGATAACTGTAATTTTGAATTCATAATTAATATTAGCATATATAGGGTATTTGAATATTCTTTAAAAAACTATAATTTTGTATCCATAATTGATTTTGACATTGTATAATGAGTGTTTGAATATTTTTAAAAAGCACTATAGTTTTAAAATTTATAATTGATTTTGACATGTAATTGAATGTTTGGATATATTTTCACAAAATCATGATTTTATCTAATTTTCAATCATGCTCAAAATCAATTTTATTAATCAAATTTATTAAATAACATAATCAATTATATTCAAAATAAAACATATTAATCAATTTTATCTGATGAATATTTGAATTGGCCGTGTAAAAATGATTGATATTAATTAATTTTTCTGGTGAAAATGATGAAGGGTTTTTTTTTTTCCTCTTTCCAAATTGTAAATTCCATTCATAGAAAAAGAAAAAACAAAATGCATACATCATTTCCAGAGATTCTTGAGAAATAGATGCCTTATAAAAATATTTTATCCATCTAGTATCAGAATATTTGGATAAGCCAAAAAAGGAAGCTTTATAATTATACACTTAAGGAACGGACCTACAACAAAATTACGAGATTACCTAACCATAGATTCCAGGTCACAGGTAAAAAATGCTAATAGATTCATTCCAATGGTTTACTTTTATGAAATTTTATTTTTTTCTTGACACTTACACCCATAACATTTAATACGCTGACAACTTCATCCTTCTCATTTTTCACCCTAAATCCTCACTTGTCTTTAGTGTCCCCCGTCACCCACCCCTTTTTCAGCCACCTTCCATTTCCATTATATAGTATTGTGTGAAGATTTTTTGTTTTTTGTTTTTTTTAAAGAAGTTTCTAAGTAGTATACCCCCCACCTTTTCCATCAAATATCTACATTTTCTTTTTCTCACTTCTTCAGCATCTTTTGGTCTCTTCTAATCTGAACAATGGTATTTAGTAGCTCCAACACGGACAAGTCTAAGTAACTACGTCACCAAAACTAAAAAACATGTAGTTAAATTATTATTTAAAAAAAAATAACTTTTCAATTTTACCCATACTTAAAAATATGAATTTTTTTTAAAAGGTCAACGAACATTTTAAACCTGAATAATATTCTGGACCCTAAACTTATGAAATGTGCAATTGGGCCCCACTACTTTAAAAATAATGGCCATTATTTTTAAAGATTAAGATGAGTGCTACATCAATGTGCAATTGAACATCACAATTATAAAAGTAACAGCTGTTTTCTCTAACTTAATAGCGAAGTTTTAAGTACATGAAATTTAGAAGTTGAAAAATTTTTTTACACATTTCAAAAGTTTATTATCCAAAATACTATTTACACAATAGTTTAGAGTCTTGAATGCTCATTAATCTAAAGTCTCGAAGAAAAATGCTGGAAAGCTGTAAATAGGATTGATTTTTTAAAAACTAATAATTGCTCTACCTTTTTATGCAAAACCACTAATATATAAAACCATCAAATTGTTCTATTATTTTACTATATAAGTAAAGAATCTAATGTTACCAAAAAAAAAAAGAAAAGAAAAGAAAAGAGAATCTAATCCATCTGTTGAATTTGTGGAACTCTTCTGGTAAGCTTCAATTATCAATCCATTCAACGACTAATAGCAGCTGACTCAACCAGCAACAATTGAGAAATAAATGCTCTCCTATTCTGTCCTCTAACTCACAAAAAAGGCATGAATTGTCAATGATCTATATATGAAATTTTTGCAACATGCTCTTTGTTAGAATCCTATACCTTTTAATGTCATGCAATGGAAGAGTATTTGGATACAATAAACTTTCTCCATGCAATTTTTATCCAGTGTAATGTGGCTTTATCCCCCTACAACTGGTATGTCAAGAATTTGAAAGGTAAGAAAATATGAAATTTTTGGCACTTCAAATTTTGTTTATTCTTTGAGTGGAGACTTGTCTTATTATGACTTGGCAATTCAAATTGAAAGGAGGGAGTAAGAAGCCTATAAACACTTCTTGGCGATTAGGAAGGTAATTAGTGCCATTATCTCTAAATGAATTATCTCCAATTCCTAGAACCATTTGGTTAAGTGGCATGAACATTCTCCTTTAGTGCCAGGAGTTCCAAGTTCAATTCTCATGTAGCCTAAAAAGAGAAAGAATTAAAAACAATTACATCAGGTGGGTTAGGGGCCTCTAATGTGCCATTCTCTAATACTCCTTGTAATGCCCCAACATTCCAATTTCATTTTTTATTTTTCTTTATATCATTGGCTTCTACATAAAATAAAAGACATTTGGATATCTTGATATCCTAAAATGGTAAAAATTTATATTTTTTATGATTTTTCAAAAGTAACAGGGTGTATTTGTAATATTTTTCTTTAAAAAATCATAAAAAATATAAATCTTTACTATTTTGGGACATCAAGATATTCAAATGTCTTTTATTTTATGTAGAAGCCAATGATCCAAAAAAAATGAAAAATAAAATTGGGATGTTGGGACATTACAAGGGACATTAGAAAATGGTACATTAGAAACCCTTAACCCTAGATCAGGTAGGTGTGTATGTAGGTTAAATAGGTGTTGTGTGTTGGATGGCTTGGTGATGCATGTGTGTGAAATCCCCTTCCCTGTAAGGAAGGATAGGTAGGTTATGGGAAAAAAAATATATTTGTCCATAGAAAGGTTTGCTCATTGGACAACAAAAAACTCCAGCTCTATCATATTCAGATCCTTTATGATATTTGGAAAAATAACTTATGTTTTTCCCCCTAATTTTGATGTTCTGTTTTGTAACAATGCAACTCTTTTTGGTCTCAATTTGTTCATCAAATTTATCTCAATTATCAATTTAATCTTTCAAATTTTTTTTATCAACTTAGTTCTTTAAATTTATTTTAATTATCAATTTAATCATTAATATTTTAAAATGAAGTTACACTGTTAAAATTTGTTAACATAAATAATAGAACATTGATGGTCATATACAATGATAAAAATTAAACTAATTTAAAAGTTAATTTATTCTCATTTAACTGTGTATATATATATGTCAAAACATTAATATATGTTACACATTAAATTATTTTAAAAATTAATTTATATTTTAAAACTTAAAAAACTCATGTGATAATTTAAAAAAAAAAGAAACCATAAGACTAAATCAATAACTGAAATAAATTTAAAAAACTAAAAATTTCATCATCCAAACTTTTTTACCCTAATCTTCTATCCCATTTTATTTTCAATAAAACGGAAGAGGAAGAAGAAGAGAGATCGTTCCAGGCCCAAGATAAAGCAGGGCCGATATCGAAATTCAAATCCACGATAGCGTTCACGAAGTTCTTCTTTCCAACCATCAGACCTTGATGACATTCACATCTAAACTCATTGATGAAACATTTTTGAAGACGACACAAACTTGTCAACCAAAAATTAGCCCCCTTAAACAGTGAGAAAGAGATTCCGAAATCTTTCAAATAAGCACACCATTGGAAAACCAAATAGACTTAAATTAAAAAAAAAAATACAGAATCATCCAAAATACATCCATCAATACTTTTTCCATTCCGGAAAAACACTCAACCAGAAAGTAAATTTGCTGAACCAGTTAGCCCACTATGTTTCCTTGCCGCTTAAAGCACCCAAAATAACGCCAGCTTACATTTAAAGTCAATAAGAGCGATTATCCTAACTTTACATTCACATGATACTATCTGATTCGGATCCCAATCAACCAAGACTCCAAGAGTGACCATTGCCACATTACATGAGAAGAAGAAAATCATGAATACAGAACATTTAGGCGATGGGATCAACGACACCTCTTTTAGTGAGTTTCAATTGAATCATTGCTCCACCTGGCTGTACAACATGTAAAGTAGTTAATACAATGGTACAACAGTTAAAAGCTTGTGTCTGAGTTTTAACTGCAACCACGTGAATGCAATCTAGCTTTTGTTTTCCATCAGACTGATGCCATTCGTTTCAGAAAGATAAAGAACATAAAGGTTAAAAACCAACGAGACCAATTCTCTTCAATCATAAGAAAATGGCCCAAAGTCTGCAATTTCCACAGGAAAATACCAGAATCTAGTCTTGTTCATTTAGAAGCTTTTGGTTTCTCCACAATACCACCCAAACAAAACAAGTAAAAAGTCCAGAATTCGTTCTGCACGCAATGCAAAAGAGATGGCAGAGCTCCCCCCTGTAAAAGTACACACCAGAGGGACACTTGGGTCCCCAGTACTCATGAAGGAAACCAAGTAATTCACACATCTCAAATCAAACAAGTCCCAGATCACCGATAAGGGCTCCTTGGTTAACGCTAATTCAAGCTAATTCAAGAGTCACTAATGTGTTCAATGCAGCAAGTACGGAGAAAAAAGAAGCAAGTAGCAGCAAGCTCCTACCAAGAATATGTTGGATGTATCATTATCTCCAAACAAGGGTAGGCCAAAATGGAAGTGCTCTGCCTTCAGTTACAAGAATCTCAAGTCAGATATGAAGAACTTGCAGGCTTAGTTAATGGTCTCAGAAAGCTTCGAGAAACCCAGCTTCCTAAGGCGATTTGTTATAGGGGTAGCCCAGGCTTTATCTGAGTTCCCACATTTTATGTCCACAACCTCAACAATGTTAGATATCTTCTTATCTTTTTTCTCCCTCGTTGGACTTTTGTCCACCACAAAGCTATCAAAACCAAGCATGGGGATTCGATGGCTATGTCTGCCATTAGTTTTTGTTTTCTGGGGAATTTTGGTGCTTCTATGGATTCCGCTGCTGCTGCTAGCTTCATCAAATGAATTTCTTGGTTGCAGTTTTTTGGGAGTAATATTACCATTACTCGGAAGTGTTTGAGGTTTAGTTCTTGAAGTTACCTGCTTGCGTGGTGTGGAAGAGAACTGCTGTTCCAATTCTCTTGTCATTAAGGAACTGATTGTTCCCGTGGTCCCTACCTTAATGGACCCTCCACCTCCCTTGATGCCTTCCAGAGTATGAGTCTGAGCCATGCTTCTGCTTGGCCCAATCAAAGATCTTTGTATGCAAGTGTTTGAGATAAGTTAATCTCAGCTTAGTCCAATGATCTGTTATATATTGTAGGATCACCCAATTGTTTGAAAATTGAAAGATGTAAATGATGTAGAAAAGTCATAGTTTAATCAAAATTCTTACTAAAAGTCAGAAAATACAGATTGCACAGAAAAAGATAAATGATCATCATATTATACAAGAAGAAATAAGCAGGAGAGGGCGAGAGGAGTCATTAGATTTAAACCACCAGATGACATAATTCTAGCACTAAAGCGACAAAAACAGAAAAGAAAATGTGTAATCGATTAATTAGAAAGTAGTATACTTGGTTACTGGACATTTACATATAGCACAAGGAGGCCCATTTTCCACTAATGCCAAAATGGGAGGGACCAAAAAGACTAAGGAGTTTTTAATGGATAAAATGTATGGACAATCTAAGCTTTTACAATCCAACATGTATACCAAACATCTAATAAGACCACTTGTATCAACAAATACTGTCTTATCTAGCCTTAAATAGTACTCATGATACTCAAGTGGCCACAATCTCAACAAAACAAACGGAACAACTTCAAAGATCAAGATATTTTATTTTATTTGGTGAATCAAGATATTTTATTTGCTATCGGGGAAGAATTGTATATCACATGCTCAGGAAGGAAATGCCAACTACCATCACTTCCTACGCCACTGAGTCCACATAAAAGAAGGAATTTATTAATCTACAAAAAATTAAATAAAAGGAACAAAAAGAAAATATTACTACCAGGCCAAAAGCATACGTTCAGAAAAGCCAAAAAGGAGCAATGAAGAGGAAGGGGAGGGAATAGAAAATTTCCTTACATCTTGTTCTCGGAAGTTATCTACAATCAAGGGTGTATGCCAAAAGGTTTTCACGCAACCTTCCAAAATATTTTAAAATCCTCTCCTTATTACATTTCTATGCTCAGAGCTCCAGAGGATAGGTTTCCAAGAGTCCAGAAGAGAGGTTCAAATCCCCCATCCAGAAACTCAACAAAACAGCGAAATCGAACCCAATATTGAAGTGAGTTATGTAATTAACCTAAGATTTCCCATGATTTATGGGAAAAACGCTCAGAAGCCTTGTAGTTGGAAGTTTTAAAAGGGAAGTGGTCCATTAATTAATCAATGTATATGATATTATGAAAATCTCAGATCAATTGATTGATTCTAATGCCTGTGGCTTCGAGTACAAGATTTGAAGACATCGATTGAGATAGTAATAGTGAGTAAAGGTTGACAATTTTAGAAAATTTAGCCTAAACACCACAAATAAAAGAAAGCATTTGCAAACTGAAAGCTCAACACATCTCAAAACATAAAATCTGAAGCAAAACTGTAAAAGATCAATTCAGGATAATTTAAAAAGTTATACTCAACTATTCATGGAAACATAAAACATTAAAAAGCCAATCAAGTGAGGCATTGATGAAACGAAGTAGAAGAAGAAGCTCACCCAAGAATGAAAGCGGCAAAGGATAAATAGGCTTCCCAAGAATGAAAGCGGCGAAGGATAAATAGGCTTAGTGTTGGCTTCAACGTAAGCAACTCAAGAAAGGCTAAATTCACCTCGAACCAAGTAAGCCAGAAGCGAAATTGAGCAAAGATGAAGAACAGAAGCACAGATCTAGACGAAGCACAGCGCCACAGAGCGCCACAGAGGCTATGGGTTTCCTGTGTTAAGTGACTTAGTGTGAACTGTCAAGAGTCTGAACAAAAAATTAGCTTTTGCCTTTTCGCGTCTTTTCGTTTTCGTGTTTGAGAAAAAGCAAAGGTTTCATGCGCATTGTTTTTTTTTTTTTTTTAATTATTATTTTTGAAATGATGGAGCTCAAAATGACCTTGAATTCTAAAATTGACACTGAAAGATTTAGGTTATGGCCTGGAAAAAAAAAATTCTCTGTAATTTATGTAAGTCTAGATCTGGTAAAAAAATTTCATTAATCAGATAGAAACATGGTTGTATGAAAATATTGTTTAGTTTTGGTTTGAGTAAATTCCAAAAAAAGTTGAAATTGCAATGTTGTGTTGGTTTATTTAAAATGGTAAATGGGCATTTAATAATGCTCCTATGTAACTTGTTAGGTATAGAACATTATATGCACTAACAAAATTGAGGGAGAATGGTAATAAGCAACGAAGAAATTAATGATAATTAAATTTTTAATAAATTTTATTTAAAATAATTATAAATATTGATTTAAATAATTATAATTTATAAATATTGATTTAAATAATTATAATTTTTTTCTTTGAATAGAAAGGGGAACAAAGCATTAAAAAAGATACAAGCAACTTAACCTAAGGTTAGGAAACATAATCAATCATTATCAACTACCTTAAGATAATAAGATGAGAGATGATCAAAGATGCTACTACTTTCATCTTAAATTATAAGGCATTTTTGAAGAAAATTTTTTATCCCAAAATATAAGATTTTATTAAATATATTAATTTTAATATTACCCTTTCTCTCTTTATAATTAATTTATGTTCTTTCTCTTTTCAATATATCAAATTATGAGTATTTTTAAAATTTATATTTTTGTTTTAAAAATATAAGGTTGTCAAATGTATTTAATAAAATTTATTGATATGTAAAATTTTGTCTAAAAGTATTTTATAATTTGAAATAAAAGAAATACAATCTAGGCTAGTGCTAGCATTAGTTGCTAAAAAAGTATGCACAAAAATTTGTTTGTCTATACTTGAAATTAATCGTGACATTCTAATTTCAAAACAACATCAATCGAGCTTGTCTTTATACAGATGTGATTCACAATCAATGCGATAAACTAGATTAAGAGCTTCAACACAATCAATAAAAACTCAAACCCTATGAAAACTTTTTGTCTAGCATAATTGTAATCCATAGATAATTCCTAGTGTTTAGTTATAGCAATAGGAAAGAAGCCAATACAAGCATTAAAACCTATAATTCAATTTGCAGAATTATCTTGTATTACCCTCTGCACTTTGCTATCCCATCATTAATGGATCCATTAATAATCAGTTGGACTTCATTTGGTTAGATAAAAATTATAAATTTAAAAGTTTCAGTAAGACATCTTAAACTTTAAATATAACTTAATTTATAATTAAGAGTCATGTTTGTAATTGTTTAAATCAATATTTACAATTTATTTTACAAAAAAATTTGTTGAGAATTTAACGTATTAATTTCATATTTTAAAACTTTACTGTGATTTTCCATAAAATGTACGTCTTCTACTAATTGGATAACTAAAATAAAACACATTATCCTCCACCTCGTTGTTAGCCTTCTTGGACGCATAATCTTTCAAAGGTAATTCATAGTGCCTCTTTGTTAGACTTAATAATCTATTATATGTATAAGTTTTGATAATGGCACATATAAAATAAAGATATTATAAATGATTTCAAATAAAATGTTACTAGAAGCTAGCATATATGAAGTATGTATGAATACATGGGATGAATGAAGTTTGGAAAAGAGTACGATGCATTTGCTTTTAAATATGTTGAAATTTGAAGTTTGTCTTTTAGTGTCTAATTTGAAATTCATCTTCATGTATTTTAGTTCTATATTCTTGCAGCTTGAAGTCTTGGCTTATGTGTGCACGTGAAGAGTCTAGGAAAAGAAATTTTGTCATTGAATGTTGCTGCAAAAGTGGGCAGATTTTAAATTTAAGTTGTGTTAAGGACACTATTCTTAAAAATTATTTCACCACACTTTTCTAATCGCATGTACAGCAACTTCTTATGACAAACTTGTCTTGTGAAGGCTAACAAGGACATAGAATAATAGAAAGCAGCAAAATAATATACTCAGGGTAAATAAGGACAGCATAGAGGAAGAGGGAAGAAGTGACTTGAAATCTCAAGAGCCCGACACTGTGAATACTACACATTTCAGCATATAAAGGCACGAACCTAGATGCATGTTGGGCATCCATTAACCCATGCTAACTCACCAAACAATCAAATCCTATAAAACCTCGGTTACTAAATGGTGGCTTAAAAATATGTTTAATGGTTAATTAATGTCATTTAAGGACAATTAAACTGACCACCGTTTTTAAAACTCTTCAAATTTGAAATTCAAGTTGTCAAATTGTTTTTGCAAAATAATTCCGGTAAAAAGAACATATTGTCTCTTTAACTTGTGTGTGGGGAGATGAATTGGCTGTTTTTAATCGCAATTACCTTTCATAGACATATCTCATGCATATGAGCTCACTTATTTTCCAAGTTCATTTACTAGCTCACTTAGATTTTTTAGTATGCATATTCTAAGAGCTCTCTTCATCTAGGCAATGCAAGACTTTTTTTTTTTTTAATACGCTCACTTAATAACTACAACAAATGTATGTTTTGAAACTTGTACTTCAAATGGAAGGAGGGGAAGAGGACTATAAATCCTTCTTCAATTTTAGTTACAGGGAACAAGCTTGTAAGATATCTTTCTTCTTATTCTTATGAAAGGCAAAGTGTTTTTTCCATGAGTTCTTTTTGACTTTCTTTTATTCTCCTGAAAGGTTATATTGCAAATAATTTTACTTTTGTCAATGAAGATTCAATTATACCCCGCACTTGATACTTTTAATATTGAAATTGAAATATTTAAATATATCAAATATTATAATATAAAGTCATAAATGTGCTCCCTGGAGAGTTCTTTTCCCCATCCTTCTCATGTCAATTCCCCAATGGATTAGCTAGCACTGACGTCAATAAGTGGGCTAACGGTTTTATGTTTTTTTTTTCTCCCTTTCAGTGCGTTGACATAATACTCTGTATAATGCTAGTTTAATTAAATGTCATCATCCGTTACCCCACACGCCGAAAAAACAAGAAAGAAATCTCGTGCGCATTTCAAATTCAATATTCCCCATTAGGATATCCAATGCTTTTCAATGACCAACAGAATAGAAGATGCTTTCAATACTTTTCATTAAAAAAAGAGTGTAGGCAAAAGTGTGCTTTTCAAGGTTGCATTATTAAATATTGTTTGAGTTAGCAAATGTAACTTGACTAGATTGTGACGAAAATTTAGGCTTCACCATACGACATTGCGCTAAATGCAATAAGGAATCCATTAAAATGAACTAAAGACGACATACAATGCCACTTCTTAATGTTTAATAAGCACAAGAGTGAGTGTTAAGAATTTACATAAATGAGACGAGTTAGATTTCTTTCAATAAAAACAGCTTAGAATCCATGCACTAATCCTCTGAAAAGAAAATCAAGCCCTAAGGTCTCACTTTATCATGACTATGTGAAGATCTTCCATACCCTACATTCCATACCTAGTTATTCCATGCAGGTTACCTTGGGCCACATTTATGCCTTGAGTTCTCATGGAGGCTTCGCTCCAGATCAAAGGGGTTGCTGCCATGGATTCCAAGCTCAGTATCCTCTTGTTTGCCCCACTAATGGGAGATCCTTCTAGTGTCAAACCTCCAGGACTCTCGTGCGATGTTAGGCAACTTTCGGTTGAACAATCAGCCCTTTGGGAATGAAGATTTGGTAATTCTTCTCTAGGCGCCTGAACTGCTCCGGTTGTGCCAGTAGATGGTAATGAGTAAAAGCCAAGAGGGTCAACAAAGGGACCTCTTGGTGCTTTACATCCATGTCCTTGAAATTTTTGGCTGTCTGTGTCTATAACCGTAGCACCAATAAACTGATCAGCAAGCATCTTGCAGGCTCTTTCGAGCATGGCCATGTATCTTTGCTCTGCATCCTGGCGAATCTGCAAATGCTTCTCTGCCTGCAGAGGGATGGATAATTCTAAAAATTAGTAACAAGTAAGGTAGATCCCAAATATTAATAATATGGAAATCCATGTCAACCCGCCCTATTGAATCATTAAACCAATGTCTTAACCAGTTTACTAAAATGACCAGTTTGATTCAGTTTGACTATGATTTTGACTATTAATCCTTAAATAAGTGCCTTAATTTATTCAATGACTTGTCCAATTTTCAGTATTTTGCAAACTTCGATGAGAGTTTCTTGAACCCCAAGAACTAACAAAACCACAAGCAGCCGCTTGCAATCACACAGTTACATGCAACATATTACTATTATCATGGTGTGGCTCCAAATACCCAGCAAAGATATCGGGCACTGTGTTAGAATCCGTGCTGCTCATGTCTCTGAACAATGCGGTTTCCAGTAGGTTTGATAAATATATTGATGTGGTCCAAGATTCATTAAACCAAAAGGGAAATTTACCTCTACTTGCAAATGTAGTTTACTTTGCACTTCCATCTGTACCCTTAAAGCCTCCTTGATTTCATGACCCCTAGAAATAACATAGCATTGCTCACAATCAGCTCGCTACTTTTAAAACAAAACGCACATCCATCCAGCAGACAACAAATATGGAAAAGGAAGGAATTATATCTTACTCATTTGTATCAGTAGTTGGCAACTTTGGGGAAGAGTTATCAGCACCAGGGCTTTCTAAAAGATATGAACCTGATATTCCTTCCACAAATTTTCAATGAGAAGTCAATTGAAGTTAACACTAACCTAAAAGGTTTAACTTAGAGAGGGTTCCTCATCAATGTCTATCAATTTAAACTCAGTGGTAAAGTACGATGATGGTAGAATCACAGAGTAAAGGTTCCCAATCAACCTTATCTCCAAAAGAATACAAAAGAGAGAAAGAACCACTATTTATGTTGGAAAAGACAGGTAGAGCAATATTGGGGGGGAGGGGGAAGTGACGTGAAAACCATACCATCTTTGCATCCTTCAACCATATCTTTGCCTGATTGCTTGCCAAGTCTGTATTTCTGCAATGCAGCAGGGAATAGTATAATATTAGAGGGTGGGTCACTTCCACTAGAAAGCCAAATTTGAGCAAAGTACATGACAAAAATTCAAGAATCGACCTGAAGATGACTCTTCAAATGAAATAAAGTCAAACCCTTTACATTCATGGTTCGCATGATTGCTTTTGGTGTAGCTTCTGCAGACAAAATATGAAGACCCTAGTCAGAAAATGGCAATGGGGATAATCTACACATGAAAATTCGATGGGAACTAACCACAAGATGGGTAAATAAAAGGTTATTTAGCAAACAATCAAAGCTTGGATCATTTATAAGACTTGACGGACCAAAAAAGACTGACAGCAAGCGTACTATTCAATTTTGACAGATTGGTGAATTTGCACAATAATTTCTTGCTCAAAAATTGAGTAACACCATAGGCCCTATGGTTTGAGCTGAATCAGCTGATGATGCAGTGATTTAGAACATAATTTCATGCCACACATGTCTTCCCATTCCCTCTACCCAAACAAGAAGAGTATAATAGTTCCCATTACCTATATTTGACTAGAAGAGGCTTTGTTCGTGTCACCAATTTCAGAAGAAAACACAGACGTCATGTGTCAAGGATGGGTTCTCCATGGTTATCAGCAAGGTGGCTAAATTTAACTTGAAATTCAATCACCAACCTAACTGTACATGAGTCTTTGCTTCACAATTAACAATTCGTTTAAACAATTAAGATTTTCAATCACCATCCTAACTATAAATGACCCACATATTTCTGAAGTGATATGAACCAAGAGGGCAATTGCATTAATATGTATATTTCAACTGAAGTGGAGCCCTTAGTATTGAAGGGCCTAATAACAAGAGGAAAATTTACGAGGTTACAAGATGCTAATGGGAGACTAATGGAATGCATTAAGGCCAAACACGCTCATATGCACATGGAGGAAGTAAATGAGGCCCTATCTTATATATTCAAGCCCAAATGCATGCTACAATGGGCCAAGACAGTTGAAGGATGTGATGATAGGAGTATAGTTGAATCTGGACAGTCCAAAGGAAGTATTAGATACATGCTTGCCCCACAAGTTAAGCCTATACTGGCTCATCAAGTTAGATAGGTGTCAGCTATATATTTTAGAAAAAATTCATTTTGCTGTCTTATTTTCATATTTTGTTTCCTGTTTAATAAGTATCTGGTCTACTTTTCTATTTCCTATATTAGTTTCTTATTTTCTGAGCTATGTTGTTTTAAGAAATTAATGTTCTTTATTGTTAGCAGATTTTTATTACACATTTTTTGGATTGAATACTCCTAAGTCAATTAGGCAATCTTTTGGCTATAAATATAGTATCGCAGTGAACATTAATTGACAGATTGAGAGATTGGAATTGAATAAAGCAGTGAATGTTTCTCCCATTTTGAGATTATTTATATTTCTCTTGCTCTAGTGTAACCTTGTATTGTCAATTTATTATTAGGTTGTAATTCAAGTTTACAAAGCCCCCGATTCAGGCTTTGAGCCAGGTGTTTTTGTGCTGTGTGGATTGGTCCGTCATGTTTGTAATTGGACATATTGTTGAAGTAGCAGGTCACATTCCCTATAACGTTGGTTAGCTAATTGATTCTGTCAGGTCTTGAACCATCTTCTATCCTTTGTCCAGCACTGAAGAAGGGGGCACCCCAATGACTCACATCAATTTGACCATTCACATCTCACTCAATTGAAGAAGTTGTTTATACTGAAATTCTGCTTCTTCTTTTTTTGGCATATAATTCAGTATATTGTTAATGCCATATTAAGATCAACAATTTAGTAACCACTTCCCACAGCCACGGAGAATATAAGGAAAAAAAAACTGAGAGCTATGGTAGGAAACCCAAAAGTTCTCTCTTACTCATTATGGCTTATGTACATGATTATCTAGCCAGAACCAAGGGAAAATATATCCAACAAGGCTTTTAGAGTTCAAAATTCGACAAAGCCAGAAGGTGGAAACCTAGCAGCATGACCAAATTAAAGTAGTTAACATTAAATCAAAATTATGTACATATATATATAAGGCATAACATCATTTCTGAGTTATAATGCCCCAATATCCCATTAAACAATATGCCAAATTAAGTACACCAAATGCTTCTTTGAATCATTAATCAAAAGCATTGCCTAGCAATACAAGAAAATCAACTTATTAAAACTCGTTGATACCAAACAAAAAGGGAAAAAAGCAATGTTTCTAATGAAGAAGCATTGGGCAATTGTATTTCAGTCAATCTCTAAGGCACATAAGTTGTGGTTAGTTCTAACTTGTTCTCTTCCACTGTGAATAACTTCTAATTGCACAGTCCTTCACGTGTTTTAACTTCTTTGGTTGCCAGAATGCCAATAGATGTCCCACTTAAGATGCATGCACATGTAAGCATCAACGATATCTAGGTATCTTGTATACCTGGATTAGATGCCTGTGTCTGGCAAGCATTCCAGATTCAAGAAGGGATAAGATGCCCCCACTTTTTTTCTCAATAAAAAAATGGCATCTCATAACTTAACTTAGAAGAATCTGATACATCATCAAACTACTCCACATTATTGTTTAAGGGTTCGAGCACTGATTTATGAGCTTATTTAAACAAGACAAGTTTCTATTTAAACCTGGTCATCCAAACCAAAAGTTAATAAAGAAGCTGCTAATCTCATCATAAATTCATCTTCATCAACTTGCTGTTCATAGTTTTCTTCCCCTTCTTGTTCCAGTCATCACGGACACAGACATGCCAGTTTCTTTATAAGAAAGAGCATTTATTGTAAGGGACAGATTTTTCTTCGTAACTAAATGAACTTTTTAATTCACTACATTACTACAACTGAGTTGAAATTTAAATTCCCAGGGACAAAGAAAAGGCCAATAGAATTAATTATTCCCAATCCGATTCCTTAAAAAAAAAAAAGGCAACATAGGACTCAAAAGAAGGAAAAAATCTCTCTTTCCTTTGCTCTGGAAATAGTTTTTACTCAGCGAACTACTCAGAGAAACTCATAATTTCTTTCATTTATCAAATGGGTGCAGCACAGTCTGCTCACTTCGTTACAAGGAAAAATCGATTATAAATACAAGTTAGACAGATACCAAAGAAAGAGCAAGAGCAAGAGTTGAAGAAGAAATACTTACTGCTGGCGCCCCCAAGCTGAGTAACAGCATCGACGAATCGTTCATGGAGGTCCTGGGTCCAGCGGAGACGAGGTTTGGGATCGGCGGTCAACACCAGACAAGGGTCTCCGTTGTTGTTGAGGCCATGGTTGGACCCACCCTGCATGTCTTCCTGACCAACCATCCCTTCGTGTGAGTGTATTAGTCTGGGATACATCCTTCTTCTTCAATGGTGAAATATGAAAAAGCCACCACTGAAGCTGTTGGTCGAAGGAAACCCAATGGGGGATTATTACTTGACGAAGAAGAGGACGAGCAGAGAGAAGAGATCTAAGTTACCCATTAGCCATTCTTCCTAAAAGAGAGAGAAAACAAAGTTAAAAGACCAAAGCGAGAGGGGTAAATTACCCAACAGGTCGGTGGGTGGGTTGGGACAGTGAAAAGCTATGCCTCTCTCTTTCTAAGGCGAAAATGTGGAGGAAAGATGATTGAACAACGTACCACTGGAACTGGACCTGGCACGCTTTCTGAGAAGTTGTCGTTTTCTAAGTTTTTTTTTTTTAATTACACCTAGGTCGTCATAAAAGAATTTGTTATCACAAAATACTTTTAAATTTTAAATTCAACATATTTACAATTTAATAAAAGATACTCTGTCTATTTTTATATATATAAAAAATTATATTACATAATTTAAAAAAATTATTCAATCATAATAATTATATTTAAACATAAAAAAATAAATTAAAATATTTTATGTTAATCATTATAATTATACATTAATTATTTTTTGTTAATATAAATTATAAAGGATGATTTAAAAAATGTGCAATAAATACTTATTACAATATATAATTTTATTTATATAAAAAATAAATAAAAAGTAATAGTTTCTCTTACAAATAGGAATGAAACAGTAAATGTTTGTTGCCCAATGTCTCAATTATAAGCAAGTTATAAATAACTTTTGTTAAATTATAAATGCACAAAATTTAAAATTTAAAAGTATTTTATAAATTTTATTAATTATCTTAATAATAAATTCTGTCTTAGAGATTTAAGTGTAATTTTTCTTTTTTTTTCAGAGAGTTTGAAAAGGTATTTTTAGTTTATTTTTCAAAAAATTGGCCAAAAAAAAGTGTTTTTTAAAAAGTTTTTTATTTCTGTTTAAAAAAGAGTATTTTTTAGTTTACCAAGTGTTTTTTGAGGAGCAAACGCATCTAAAAAAAATTAAACAAAGTACATTAAATTAAATAACTATGAATAGCACATTAATTTATGATGCTTTAAATTCCTTCAAGCTTATTATGCGGAGTATAAATGAATAGCACATTAAATAACTATGAACAATACTTGTAAAAAAAAAAATAGGTAAGCTAGTCTTTAAAACTTGAAATAGTTCGGAATTTGGCTTGGATTCAAAATTTCATAGGTATCCCTCGATAATTTGGTTGTGAGTATGGAGATCTTCATATATTTCAATTTCATCATCAAGATGCTTTTACACAATCTTTTATGGGAAATTTTAATAAACTTTTATTTGATTTAAGAGGAGGAAAGGAGAATAAAAAATAAATTAAAAATTTTATTTTTAATAAATTTAATTTGATTTTTATTTTTTACTTTGAAAAAAAAAACTGTTACATTATAATTTATTAAAGTTTTATTTTAAGAATATGAACTTATATTAATAAAAAAATTGAAGAACAAATACATTAATATTATATTTTATTAGTGAATCTAATGAAAAATACTAAAATTTTATGCATTAAAAAAATTATATATTAATTTTTGTAAGGTCATGAAACTTATTTTATTATAAGAAAGAGATAAAGAAAGATAATATATAATCTTTTAACATTAAATGCAGTTTAGAATTCTTAAAATAAATGTTTAAATTACTCTTAAACATTTTATCTCTCTTATCCTCTCCAAAAATCCTCAAGTTGAAGGAGAGGGTTAAGAAAGGAGTCCCCTCTAATTATTAAACCAAATAAAGGGCTTTCATCTTCTCTCTTTATTAGATACTAATCAAATAAGGGAACGGCAGCAAGTTCTCCCCCCCCTCCTCTCTCCCTTTTCAAAAACTTCCAACCAAACACATTAATAACATTTAACTTGATATTTTTTAAATGTTCAAATGTTATATTTCTGTGTCTTTGTATATAAACAAAAGACTCAATGACTTGTTGAACTTTTCTCTTTTTTCTTACCATTCTATGATTTACTTTTATTTGTAACACTTTTTTATTATTAATATTATTATTTAACCTTTTTACCAAAAAAAAAGAATTTGGAATTTTAATTCAAAGTTAAATGACAAATTAACTTTTAAACTATAGATTTAGAAACGTTTGAGGCTAAAATTTATTTTTGGTATAATATTTTCCTTTAACATTTTAAAATGGTATAATGTAATTCCTACAATTATTAAAAAATTAACTTTAATTATTAGTTAATAAAATCATAGGAAATGACCCAAGAAAATTGTGTTTGTCTTTTTCTACAATTTTTTGTAACCAATTTTTGTAATTTTTTGGGCTCCTGTTTCTAAATTTTGAGTTTTTTTTATAATTTTTTTATCTTTTTAAAATTTTTTATTTTTTTGGACAACTAGTGATTGAAATTAATTTTTATTAATGATAGAGGCGACATTGTATGATTTTCAAAAATTAAAGAGGAATATTGCACTTAAAATAAATTTAGAATCTTAAATATTCCTGAATTTATAATTCATGAATCAATTTATCATTTAACCCTTTAATATAATATCTTTACTTTTGATCTTATTTTCCTCTCTTCATTTTTATGCAAACATTGTTTACAATAATTATAGCCTCTTTTTGACCGAGAAAAAATATAGCCTCTTCGACCCTTCTTCACCTAATCAATTTTTTCCAGTAGTAATAATAATTTCATTTTATTTAATAACTTGTGGGATTGATCCAGCTCGACCAACATGTTCTTTGATTAAAAGTTTGTTTAAAATACAGGATAATTAGCATGTGGACGTTGCAGTCATAAGACCCTTGGTCAACGGGGGATGTATTGTGTAGTATTATAAAAAATAAAAAAGAAAACATGATCTCTTATCTCTATAATTTTATTAAGTTTTGTTTTTAGTTTTTATAGCTTTTCAGAAAAGCGTTTTCAATCCTTAAAAAAACTAAAAACACTGAAAAATTTGAAAATTATAAGGATTTGAAAAACAAAAGCCATCCATTCTTTCTAAAATTATAGGGATTAAAAATATTAAAAAAATATAAAGATTAAAAATAAAATTCAATAAAATTATAGTGGCTAATAATTATGTTTATAAACATATTTGAATGCATTATCAATATCATATACTTGCTTTGCATATAATCAGTGGCAGAGCTACATACACTCATGGGGGGCATATGCACCCTCTCAACTTGGATGAAGTTACAAATGAGAAGTAGATATTTTATTATTTTATTTTTTCTAGCCACAAAATTTTGAATCCCTTAAAATTTAGGCCCCTTTTTTGTGAATGTTTTAACTTAAGCCTAGTTATGAATTTACTAAGTTCAAAACTCTAATGTGACTTTTAGAAAAGAATATTCTTATTTATTTAATTTTTTTAAATCTCTAGTTAATTATTATATATTTTTATATATAAATAATATCATAAATTAGTGATTTATATGAAAGGAAATATTTTTAATAGCATTTGAAAATGAGTAAGGGACAATTATAAAATATATGATTATTTTAAAAAATATTAAATAATTATTTTTAAAATTAATTTGCACCCCTGATATAGAGTCATGGCTCCGCCATTGCATATAATTGAAAGTATACTGCAATCTGCAAGCAAGACACTTCTAATGCGTGTTACGTGTCTAAAACAGTTCAATTTTTTAATGCTATAAAAATGTGATTTATTTTTTCAAAGTTTGCTCGTATTTGTAACTAACACCCACAATCTCATTCACATAATTACTCAATGCATATTAAGCAATATATGGATAAAAATGAAAAGCTTTTTTCTTAAAACAATAAAATATTCTACATTTTTTTTATAAACAATATTCTACATTTTAGACTGACAATAAAATATTCTACATTTTGGACTGACAATAACTTGTAAAAAGTATCATGGACGGGAGGAAGTATGTAACATGCATATTTGGGACAATTGCTCAAAAATCCCATTTCAGCAAATTTACTTCTCTAAGGTATCGAGAATTTGCTTAAGGACTTAGGTCCTTTAGAAGAATAAATATTGATAGTTATATTACCAAAATATACTTGCTTAATCTTTTGTGAATGTATCAACAAATGTTTATCTAATTAGTAAAAATTTAATTCATAACTCATAAAGTTGTAGGGTCAAATTTTACTATCGGTGTGAAAACATTGTTAATGAGTAATTTTTAAGTGCTTTTTAAGTTTAGAGACATACCTTAATTTTGGCTAGCCTCCACAACCTAACCCATTTAAACTTTTTGGTGTAAAAACAAAAATCTTTTAGGAATGTACATTTTTTAGAATATCCAATTGTGTTTTTATGAAAAAATAAAGTTATATTCGGATATCCATGATCATTATCATAAATAAAAAAGAAATTTTTAAAATATCTAGTTACATTTTCATGAAAATTAAAGATATATTTGAATATGTATAATTGATATCATGAAAAATGTTCTCCCATAATATACAAAACACTCTCCTATGTATTTAAATTTCTTCCATATATGCAAGAATGATATTGCTAGATGCAAAATACTGTTATGATGCATATTTCATTGAGTGTAATAAATATTTCATGAAACATAATTTTCTTTTGTTATATGCAAATATCTCCTGTCATGTGCATTTTCTTTATCCTTATGAAGATCCTTCTATGATATGCAATATTTTCCTATCAAGTGCAAACCTGTACCACAAGATTACATATATCCTCGAGTGTAATTCAAATGCAAATACCTTTTGTTGGTGCACGTTTTCTTCCAAAAATAAATATTAACTTTAAGGACCTTTCCCAAATATTGACACCCAAAAACGTCAACCATTTCTTTTTCTATTTCATTAAAAGCATTTAAGTCATTTATCGTTCTCAAATATCTACACCAAAGGACCTTAATCTTTCCATGAATTCTAAGTACCTTAGAGCATTTGCTGGCGAGGAATATTTGAACAATTTTTCCTCAATATTTTGTTATAAGATTCTATAGTATATATGAATATGGACGTAGGGATGGGTCCCCTGCCTGCCAGCCCAGTCATCCTGGTTCAGTTTCAATCATTTTGGGCCGACCCCAAAACCTCATCCTAGCACGCAAAAGTAAACATTAAGAAACAAAATAGTTAAAAGTTAAAGACCAACACGCCTAACCCTTTTTTTGGGGAAAACACAAATAAAGACAAACATCACTGCATATAGTGATTTCTTTCAAAAAAAAAAAAAAATCTTGCTTCCACAAATGGATGCATGGGAATGAGTGAGCCCATGAAAATGGATATCTAAACTAACTGAAAGTAGTTGAAGCATTCAGCATTGGGTGAGGAAGATGGCTCAAGCAGCGTAGGAACATAATTCAACAAGTATAATTTTTTTCTGATGAATTAGCTGAATGGAGGAGAGTTATCAACAGATCAACGTCACTCCTGTGTAAATCCACGTCACGCTTTTGTATCTAACAACTTATGACAATAAGGAAACTGCAACGAAGGTAAGGTACTGATTTAAGAGGCCTGTACAAAAGAAGCTGGAAAATTTGCTAGTGAACTCATATGTCCCATCTCTTTTTCACCCGAAACATTAAAGCTGAGGATTTTATGTCGTCTTGAGGCACTTGGAGCATGAACTGAACTTTCATCTTCATAGGGGCTGTTTTAGCCTTGCCAGTTTCTTGCCCAACCTGAATAGAGTTAAAATGTCCATTCAGATACTCAGCTGAAAGCACACCTTTTTTTTTTTTTTTTTTGGTGCAGCTCAACTATACAGACAAGTTTTTAACATCTTTTTAGTTAATTTGAACTCAACTGGATCCAAACATTGGATCCTTAAGCTCTGGAGACGATAGTTACCATATTTGTTTTTCTATCAAATATGGTAACATCGATGATAGTCTTGGTAACTAGAACGGCAGAGAGAGAGAGAGAGAGAGAGAGAGAGAGAGAGCATACCCAAAGAGAAGCCCAGCCAAGGCGAACCTCTGAATCATAACCAGCTTTAAATTTGAAGTCTTGGCCGTAAGTGCGCTTGTAGACTGCACTCCAGTAGTTGGAATCAAAGTTGTACCAGTAACTATCCAAGAAAATATGTTACAAGTTGACGTGGAAGGTGAAACAAACTTAAAAATTTGGGAGTCAAATGCCAAGCAACCAAAAGTTCAAATTGCACTATAACCTTTTAAATTTAAGCACTTAGCATGACAAAAATTACTCTAGTTTCCTTTGTTCTAATCTTGGTACTGGTTGAGTTTTGACTGTTAAAGATGTCTTGAAACAATCATTTTCATACCTCTTCACCTACAAATCTTTTTATACCACTTACTTGAAACAATTATAACATGTTTCAAATCACACATAAGAGTATTTCAGGAAGGTCAAACATAGCAGCTTCAAAAGCTTAGAAGAAACCATGTCTATAGTTGATCAATCGTCAGTTAATTTAATCTTAAGAACTATTTTGCATGCTAATCAATAACATTGATCATGAGATACTCAAAACGTTAAGTAATCTCAGCATCCAGATTGCTAAATCCAAAATCACTTCTAGAAAGCACTTCCACAAGAAAACCAATGTCAAATTGAATTTTTGCGAATATAATTCTCAGAAAGCAACAAAAAATGAAAAACACTTTTGTTTTCAATCATCTCTCTTGCCATTCATACTGGCCAACCACACAATTACACTGTACATGGCAAAAGCAAGGCATCCTCTCACACATTGCCTTGAAGTTGTCCAACATGCTAAGGTGTTTATGTCATATCTAAGCATACCCAATAACAAAAAATTATAATCACGTATCGGACTTTTCAATATCTAAACATTTTAATTAAGAATAAATTTGAGTTGGCTTGACCAATAAAAGCTATTGCTAGACCAAGTTAGACGGACTTGGATGGCATAAAACAACATGCTGACCAGTATATGGTAAAAAAATTTATCACCAAAAATACTTTATTATATATTTGAGCTCTCCCTTCTAGACGAGAGGCAACTTGTGCTTGGACTTATCTATTTCATCAAAATGGCTAAGCTACTTGGTTTAGGGCAGCCACAAGCTTATGTACCTTCATCTTCTTATCACTTTTAGATGTGTGACTTCTTTTAAGGTTTATCACCAACAAAAACCAATAAGAATGATGAATTGCAAAGAGGGCGTTCTAACCTTAGCTTGTTTGAAGGACCAAAACGGCGTTTAAATGCAAATGACAGAGCATTCGAAGGTAGAGACAAGCTTGGAATAAATGACATTTGTTCATCCTGCATTTGTTTGAAAAATTTGAAACCGATTCAATAGAATGTCAAATAAACTGGCTCACCTTGACAAATAATGGACCAAAAGGCAGGCATCTAACACAATAGATAGCCTAGACCAGAAGGTTAAAAGGAGAAATTGGAAAGATAGTGAAGAGTGCAAGCAGTATCTTCAGAAAAGGCACCTTGTAAGAGTATCTTAAGTTCATCTCTTCATCCTTGTATTGGGCAGTGCCGGTTCCATTCAAAAGTTGTGCTTTAACAATTCCATTCACAGACAGCAATCGCTTGAATTCCTCCTGTTCTTCCTCCTGTAGTGAAATTTCACCGACAGGAAATCTAAAGGTTGCTTTTGGCTGCAGATTAAGAAAATAGGGTGAAAATTATCTCAAAATTGTCAACTTATAAACTATGGCAAGGTAGATCAGTATTGTCACCTATCCATGTTCAGAAAAATGAAGGTATTTATTAAGTTTTGTGGCAAATAGCATGTGAAAGGACATAAATACTGAATCAGACAAGTGCATCACTGCTGCCCCTAACCTTAAAAAAATTTTAACGGGAAGAACTGATAAAAGAATATATGAAGATGAAATGAACTAGAGATATTAAAACCAATATCGGGCCTTTACTTGATTGCTTGAACTTTTAGGATGAAGTGATCCTTGACATAGTATCAAGGCCTCTAGACTATGTGCACAAAAGTCCAATCCTTGTCACCTTGAACTCTCAATTATAGTTAAGTCTCAACACAGGTGTGGTGCGCATGTGCTTTTGCAGTTTGCAAACACTCCACATTTCAAGCCTAAGGGGCCTTAATGTGATGGTGCAGGTTATAGATATCAACAAAACATAAAGTTATTGGCCTTCACTTAATAGCAAGCTTCTTGAGAAGTGGCTCTTGACAAGATCGAACACATGCTAACATAAGAAATAAAGCTGAACCAGCAAAAAAGCTTCAGAGTTGGTTGGCTTTGGTTTATTACTCATAATAGTATAAATACAAAGGCCCAAATCTGAAAGTTATAACTTTATAGGGAGATATCAACATGATTATACACACCAATCCAACAGTTGGAACTGCAGTTGACAATTCGAGCGCATAGCCAGGATCTGCCAAATCTGCAACCATTGTAACCTCTCCTTGTTGAGCCTTAACAAAGGACAACAAATTGGTTAAAAAGAGAAAGCACATATGTTTACAACAGGTAATTGAAATTTCTCAATACACGATTAAAATGCTAGTTTTTTCAGTCTTCAACCATGTAGCATATCGTAAAAGGGCTACCATTGATACCTTCAAAATACAAGATGTACTCTTCGAAGTAATATAGTGAAACACACGCGAAGATCACAATGATTTACAGTGTTAAGGACGGATAACCATCCCTGCCCCCCAAAAAACAAAACTCTTCTCCCTCAATAAAAAAAAGGGCAGACAATAGAAATGCTCAGGCATATAAAATCCGGAGTCATTCGAAGTCTTCAATTCGTTAGTTCTTAAAGTAACGTTGCTAAATTTACAACAAGAATGGAAAGTACTGATAGCCTCAGCAAGTAATTTTCTTCAAAAATATTGGTAGTGATAAACACGTAGAGACATGGTATCGAAAGAAAATCTTTGAAACCCAAAATAACCAAAATGAGAGAAACTAAAATTTTCATATTTTTCAGGAGAGATTTCACGATGCTGGTACCTTGACATCATGAGCAGCTTTGAGGTGCAATTTGGGACCAATGTCAAAGGAACTCTTGACGAGAGCATTCTGGTCTTCAAGGTCATAGTGGATACTCAAGTGCTTGGAAACGAAACTCAGCTGGGGTTCGGAGACATCGCCTTTGCTGCTATTTTGAAACGAAAGCTTAAACTTGGCAAGGCTATCGAAGAATTTGCAGGAGATCTTGTGGAAGAAGACAGTGCTTTCACTGTCGAACTCAGTGGTCACTCTAAGGGTCGGTCTTTTGGGAAATGGGAAGATAAAACCGTTATTAGACGGCGCGGGTGGAGGAGCAGGATCTGCTGCCGTAGGGGAGGGTGGCAGGGCCATGTGATTAGGGCTTCGAAGAGCTAACTCCATATCCATCGTTGAAACGTTATCTGAGGTAGCTGTGGACTGTGGTAGGAGGAGGAGCGTGGGAAAATATAAACGTTTGGAAAGTTTGGGGACTCTTTTTGCATTTCACACAAATTTGCTGATTCTGCACTATAGATGCCCGAAACCTCCCGGCTCTGGATTTGAAATTGAATAATAATGAATAGTGAATACAGCAAAAAGCAAGGGTTCGCCCCAAACCTCTCGGTTCTGGATTTGAAATTGAATAATAATGAACAGTGAATACATCAAAAAGCAAGGGTTCGGTACGCGCTATAGGAGGGTTATTAATGATTGAGTAAGGATTATTTCTATTTTTAAATTATATTCCCGATTTTAAATTATAAAATATTTTTGAACGAATTTTTTTATTTTAAAATATAAAATACTTTAAATAATTAATATTTTATTAAATATATCAATTTTAATATTATTTTTTTATAATTAATTTTTATCTTTTTAATATATTAAATAATGGGTATTTTTGAAAGTTTATAGTTTTATTTTAAAAAGATAAGGTTATTAAATGTATTTAATGAGATTTATTAGTATTTAAAATTCTTTTTAAAAGTATCTTATAATTTGAGATAGAGAAACTACATGAGATATTACAAATGTTTCTAAACTTAATTATAAGTTTTAACTTTAAAAATTTTTTTTATCATTATCCTAACGTTAAAAACACTTAACATCCATTAGTTATAAATAAATTCCACTATTTTTTAATATTTTTTTATCAAATTAAGGGTCATTTTTGCCTCTCAATTCAACTAATGGTGAAAAAATGGCAGGGTGATGAGGAAAGAAATTTTTAAAGTTAAGAGATAAAATTGACTCATAATTAAATTTCAAGGCATTTGTCATTTTTTGTATACAATTTAGAGACAAAAATGACTCTTAACTTTTTTAATACTAAGACTATGTTAATATGCTTGGTCAATAAAATTTGCATATTTGAAATTAAAAATTGACATATTTGTTAGTTTTTAAATAAGCTTGATCAATTGACATGATCTGATCTCTCATGATAAGATTTTTTATCCCCCTAACAATGTCAAAGAGGGGATGGATTTGAGAGTATTATTTTGAATAAGGCGGATGCCTTCAATTGAGTTGTAATATACATTGATTTGTGTACATTTTTGTTTGACAAAGATTAAACCCTTTAAGAACGTTCATTGACTTTGTTGTACTCGAAAAATACGACGGGGACGACGCGCGAGAATGAAAGTTTTAGCCTTCAAGGTGAGAACTGGCTGAAACGGAAGTCACCACCAAAATTTTGAGAAAAATCTTGGGAAACTAAATAAAGGAAGTAAAGATGGTCTGCAAAATCAGAAAATAGGTTTGGGATTCGATTGAGTGTGAGAAAGGTGTTAGCACCCCACAACACCCGTTCGTGAAAACGGTTACTTGAAGTTTGTTGTGTAAAATTAATATAGTTTTAAAGTTATTTTAATTATTCCTTTCTTATTCATGTGTTTGATAAAAATGATAATAATTACGTGAAAAATATTTATTTATTTATAAGGGAGGACTTGAATCAGAATCATTCTTTGAGACCTATGCATCCTATGATGGGAATCAAAGTCCACGTAATTCAGACTTATAAATTGTTGGTGAAAATATTTTTTGAAGAGAAATTAGTTAAAAATAATTAACCATTTTGTAAATAAATTAATTTTCTGAAATTTGATATATGTGTTTTATATTGCAAAAAAGTAATTTAATTTTAATTATTTTTTCAATTTTGAAATTCTGAAATAAGAAAAGAAAAGAGTTTAAAATTATTGTTTTTACGGTTTATGATTGAAAATTTAACCGTTATACCTTCAGAACCTTATTGGTTCATACAGTAATGTAGTTGTTTTAAATATCTAAGGAAATTTTGCAATCTTACACGATAAAAGAATTTAATAACTTAATTTATTTATTTATTTATATTCTTATTTATATTTTTAAGTATTAATAATAATTTTTTGAGCATGTATGTGCATATACACTTTTTCAAAAAAATCTTAATTATCATACCTGTAAAGTCTCATTAACTTACACGGTAATATGATTATCTTAAATATATGTGGAGATTCCAAAATCTCATGTGATAAAAGAATTAAATTTATTTAAATATATTTTTTTAAGTATTAATAATATATTTTAAGTGTATATATACATATTTACATTTTTTAAATACTCTTAATCTCATACCTGCAAAGCCTTATTGACTTATACAGTAATACGATTATCCTAAATATCTGCAGAAATTTCAAAATCTCACACAATAAAGGATTAAATAATATACACTTAAGTACATTTTTAATTTAATCAATTTAATATAATATATATATATATTTATTTATTTATTTAAAAAACATAATCGTTATATCTGTAAAGTCTTATTAACTTATACGATAATACAATTATTTTAGAAACCTACAGAGATTTAAAAATCTCACATGACTAAAAGATATAATCAGTAAATGTGATTACAATTTAAATACATTAATTTGATTAATTAATTTTTCTAAATTGTACATTATATCATTATTTACAAAAATTATTTATTTATTATAGAAATTCAGAATCATTATATCTGTGAGGACTTATTATCTCACACGATGATATGATTAATTTAACTCTTTACAAAGATTCTTAAAATCTCACATGAGACTTAAATAAATTATTAATTTGAATTATAAAAAGAGAGTTAACTTTAATGATGGGCCTTTGAAACCCATATTAACATATAAGTTTTACTCTCACATCTGCAAAACCTTATTAATCTACACAATATAAAATTATCTTAAATATTTACAAAGATTCAAAGTCTCACACAATAAAAGGATTAAATAATATTCACTTTAAATATATTTTAATGTGTAATTATACAACATATATTCTCAAATATAGAAATCTTAATTGTTATACTTATTAATCCTTATTGACTCACACAGTAGTACAATTATCCTAAAGGTCTACAGAGTTTCAAAAATCTCATGTGATCAAAAGATCTAATTAGACAATATAATTATAATTTAAATTTATTAATTTAATTAATTAAAATAAAAAATATTTATTATTTTATTTACAAAAATTCATTTATTTATTTACCATATAAATTGAGAATCACAATATTTGTAAGGATATATTATCCTACACGATGATGTGATTAATTCAAGTCTCTACGAAAATTCTTAAAATCTCACATGAGATTTAAATATTTATTATAAAAAGAGAATTAATTTTAATAACGAGCCTTTAGAACCCATATAAATACATATAAGATTGATCTTCATACCTGTGAAATCTTATTGATTTACACGGTATGAGATCATTTTAAATTTAAATACTTATGGAGACGCTTGAAATCTCACACTACAGATAAACCATGAATATATATATATATATATATATATATCTTTTGATTTTAATACTTTAGCCTCTTATAACGAAATCATGACAATATATGGAAATAGAAAGCACCATGAGGTATATGTATGTTATTAGCCACGATTATCAATATGCATGAACAAACTACCACAAATGAACAAAGATTAATATAAAATCAAACCATGTTATCACACATTGCATTTTTTTAAAACAGTAATTATAAAAATTACAAGGCAATTTGAGAATCAACGATGCAAAACTAAATGTACATAAATTAGACACATTGGATATCTTATAATACAAACCATCAGAAGTCTATTTTGCAAACACAAACATCATAAGATGAAGAAATTAGTAGGCAAACTTAGTGATTAATTCTCAAATGTTAAGAATCTCAAATTTTGAATAGAAGTATGTTCTTGAACCATTAAGAGATGCAAGATTACACGAAATATTTTATAAATAACTAATCAAGGATTCATACAAACTTATGGCTATTATAAAATTTTAAAAAGAAAAGAGAAAAGAAGAATAATATTATTTAAGCCGTAACCTTTATCTGCAACCTTTAACATGGATTATGCTTTCGATAAGCTCTTCCTCCAAGCTGTCAGTCCTCTCTCTTTTCCTTCTACGTTCATCTCTTTTGTTTTGGTCCCCTCTTATCTCAAACAAGATCACCTTTGCACCTCACGCAAGACGTCCCACGCACCCTCTTGCACAGGTTCGGCCTTGAATGCATGCTCACAGCCCTCCTTAATCTATGTTCTACTTCAGCTTTCTATTCTCGTCCTTCACTGCCATGGCATGGTGGACTTCGTCTTCCTCCACTTGCTCTTCCCTTTCGAATCTCTCTTCTTCTTGTTTTTTTTTTGTTTTGAAATCTTCATCCTCGTTCCCAGCTCTCTTGTTCTCGGTCTTTCTTGTTCTCAGTCTCTCCCTCGCTCTCGGTCCCTGTTCAGACTTCCCTCTCTCGGTCTCTCCCTCGCTCTCGGTCTCTGTTCAGACTTCCCTCTCTCGGTCTCTCCCTCGCTCTCAGTGCTTGTTCAGACTTCCCTCTCTCGGTCTCTCCCTCGCTCTCACTGCCACGTCTGTGCCTCTGCTCTCCTCCTCTTTTCCAAAATCTCCTCCTTCGCTTAGACTCCAACCTCTTTTCTTTTGTTCGTTCTCGCCTCTAGGAGCAAAAATCAGGTCCTCTCCTTTTTCTTTCGGTCAGCCCTCTTTGTCGCTGAAGCCACCATCTTTTTCTCTTTTGTGCATGTCTGGCTGTGCTCTTTTGCTTTTGTTCTCTCCTTTCTCTTTTTTCGTCTGTGCTGTGTGCTGCACCTGTGCTCTATTTTTTCTTTTTTTTTTCTGCAATGTGCATCTCCGTGTTTTCTTCGGCATGTACCTCTGGTCTTCTGTTATGCGTTTGCTGCTCTACTCTGTCTGCTGGGTGCATGCATGCGTCTTTGGTTCTGTTTCTTTTCTTCTGCTGGCTGAAAGTGTATGTGTGTGCGTATTCTACTCTTTGCTTCTTCGTACGCGATTGTTTGCTCTCTCTCTGTGCGTTTCCATCTGCTGCGTCAGTGCTGTGTTTCTGCTATGCGTGTGTTTTGCGTCTACTGTGCTTGTGTTTCGTGTCTGCTGAAAGCAAAGAAAAGAGAAAAAAGGGTTGCAGCGTTTCACTATCCCTTTTATTTATTTTTTTATTTTAATTCTTTTGCTTCTTTTTTTTCGTTAATCTAATTTCTGAAATATAATTGAATGAGTTAACTCTCAAATATTAATTCTCAGTATTTTTAAATAGTTGAAATAATTTAAAAATTTTTTT